CCCACGGTGCCAGCCGAGACCAGGAGATCGGGTTCGAACCCGCCGTCGAGCAGCATGAGCGTGGACACGACGGCGCCGGTCTCGCCCACCATCTCCACCTTGAGTGCCGGGTCCATCCAGGGCGCGAGGCCGTTGGTGACCAGCTTGTACTCGACCCCGCGGTGCTGGCCAGCGAACACCCGGTTGGGCTGGGCGAGCCAGAGACGACGGTTCGAGTCCCGTGTCACCTCGACTAGGCCCAGAGCGTCGATGAAGGGCTGTGCCTCGAGGCTCATGGCGATGACCAGGCCCACTCGGGGCTTGCGCTCGGCGAGGACCAGGGCAATGGAGGCGACGACAAGACCGACGACGAACAGGAGCCACAGAGCGTACCTCATCTTGTGGTGGATGTTGTTTTTCTTCTGCTTCTGCTTCTGCTTCTCGTCTTGGCGCTGCATGGACAGGAGAAGAAAGGAAGCTTGACTCCGACACAATTTTGGCTCGCGGTCATTAGCTGAGTATGCTGCGTGCTCACCATAGCAAGCATCGGAGTTACACCGCCACGACTACACCTGTTCACGTGTGTTGTGTGCCGTGTGTGCTGTGTGTTGTGTTTGATAGGCTGCAACAACAACAACAACAACAAAAGACCATTTATTTGCGTGAGCTGAAGGTGTTTGCTCACTTTCGGCGGAAGTGGAAGCGAAGTCCCAGCGCGAGCGCACCTCCTGCAAAGGACGCACACGCATACGTCAGTCTAGGAATCAACCGAGCCTAGCACAGGAGGGCAGTCTTACCAATCGGAAGCCAGATGGGAGCTGTCACAATCGTTACGGGCACAGCTGTTCGCCACACAATCATCGCATCAGCACACAGGCCCATGACACGACACGACGACACACGACGACACACGACACGACGAGTGGAAGTGGTGTGTACCGGCAACGAAGGCGGTGGTGAGGGCGACCTTCTTGGCCTTCTTGATGCGTCGCTTGCGCTTATCGCGCCTGTCGCGCTCGCGTCGCTCGTGCTTGGTGAGCGGCATCGGTCCGTTCCAGTAACTGACGTCGGCCAGGATGGCCTCGTCTTCGCTGCCTTCGAAGCGATGCCGCATCCGGGCGAGATCGTCGCTCCTGCTGCTCATGTCGCTGTCGCTGTACCTGCCCCCGCTAAAGCCGCCATAGTAGGCCTCGGCGTCGCTGTCGCTATCACTCTCGCTTTCGCTCTCGTCGCCGTCGTCCGATCGCATGGCTTCCTCGTCGTCCTCGTCATCATCCGACGATGACGTGGAAAACGAGTCCGACGAGCTGCCCCACTCCGACGTATCCAAGTCTATCGAGGGCACGCACACGACACACACGACACAGTGACACAAAGGGCGCTTGCGAGTGAGTGCGATTGTCGAGGCAGGGAGCAACAGCCAGAGAGGAGGATGGACGCTCACCCGATTCAGACTCGGAACTGCTGGGGTAGTAGCGGTTCCATGGGCAGGCCTCGATGATACGCCCTGGGAGTCAATGTTAAGGCGGATGACGTCAGCCGGCGCCATTCCTTCAAATTCCACACATTGAAGGGGAGGCTTCTTCGGGGTACCTCGCTTCTTCTTGTACCAGCGGCCGACGCTCTTGTTGCCCTCCTTCTCCATCATGGTGATGACCTTCTTCATGCAGCGGACGAGCTCGGGCGGCGGCACGTATGAGTCGTACTCGAGCAGTAGCACCGCCTTCTTGTGCTTCCTGACCAGCGCCCGCTTGGCCTCCTTGTTCAACACGATGACGCTCGATGACTTACCGGCGCCGCCGCCGGCGCGGCCGTCTCGCTTCTCCTTGCCCTTGCTGCTGCTGGCGGCCCGCAGCGTCCGGTCCTGCAGCTGAGCGGTCGAGCCCGGCGTCGTGGGGTCGCTCATGGACCTCTCGCGGGCCTCGGGCCTCTTCTCGAGCGCGTCGGGGGCGTCGTGGAGGTCTCCGCCTGCAGAGGTCGATGACGAGGAGCCGGGGAGGACCTTGACGAGCCGACTGCGTACGCGGTAGGAGGGCTGCCGATAGGCGAACCGCACGCCGAACGGAGCGCAGAACGTGCGGAGGGACCTGGGCACATGCCGTCACACGCGTGCGTGAGCACCGCACGCACCGCACACGAGAAAGCTTGCGGGGAGAGAGGGCACAGTACCAAGACGGGAAGACGGCGATATCGCCCTCGTTGGCCATCTTGGACACGGGCTTCGACGTCGAAGACATGACCACAAGACACGCGCAGAGAGGTTAGGGTTGTCTCCACACTAATAATCAATGGGGGGGGGGTCGGAGTACCAGGCGATGGGGGCGATTGTCGCTGTCCGGCCGCTCGGTCCGCAGTTCGACCTGGCACAGGTCTGGGTCGGTAGAGTGGGCGCTGATAAGCTTGAACATGGCATTGCACGGCATCATGTTGAGCTGCGTGCTGAAGTCCGCCTTCCGCTTCCT